CTTGTTACCCATTAGACCCATTCCATGGACTGAATCAAGCTTTCCTGGTATGGCTGCCACATAATACTTGGTTATTTTGCACCACTGGTTTTGTTCTGTGACTGGACTTCATTTCCTTGAACCTTTCATGGCTTTAAACTTGTCATTTCAAACTCATATCCAATATTGTGGCTTCTATTGGGCTATTTGAACATCAGTCGCCACATTGAAAGGAGAGTAATGGTCCAGAGGCCTGAAATGGAAGTTTTGTTCTGCCATTTATTGGATGGTAGAAGATGAATTAACTTAAACTTTCCAAACTTTTTTTCACCTGTAAAATGGAATTAATAATAACTTATAGAGTTTATATAAATATATAGTTCATATATGTTTAAAAATATTTAGTTTTTTGAATATCAGTTTCCTACACTTGCAACTTTTTTTGTAGTTTTGAAAAATTTTAATGCTAGATTACTTCAGTTATAAATTTGTTGAGAAAAGCTAACATTTCCCAAAACATAAAGCATTCTTGCTCACATTGAAAAAGCTAGAACTACAGCCATGATCCAAAGTCAAAAGCTGTATAAATTAGTGTGCTATCATTAAGAGAGAACTAGCTGCTCCATTTTTTTGCCCAGTCTTAATAATCAGTGCCAATGGCTCCATGGTCAGTTTTGCTGATGTGAAGTTTCTGTGGGCTCCTGTGACCAGTCTAGGTAACCATTAACTTAGAAGCATTATGATCATAAAATCTGTGAACATTTCATGAGTCAGAAATAGGAATAGTCTTTGTTATTAGTATACTTCCAATATACTACTTCTGACTGACACTTAAAAATATAAAGGATTATTCTATTTCAGAACTAGTCAGTCAAGCTGTGTCACTCATGAGTTACCGTCATCTGCTGACAAATAAGGTAGCCCGCAACTCACAAATTTATGAGCCATTAGCAAGAAGCAAAAGAAGTCAGGGAAGTATCCTTCTGTGTTTTTCCTTAGTTTCTTTGGACTGTCACAAAATAGCACAGTTCTGGATCCAGCAAATCCATGGTTAGCATGGTTTGGCAAGGATCATCTTTAGAGTCAGAGAATTCTCGTTATAATCTTTCATAGCATATAGGACTAGGGATCTCTCTAGACACTCCTTTACAAATTTCCATACTGTGACTTTTAAATATCACCCAAACTGCCATCACCCTTGGGAATTATGATTTCAACTTATGAATCAGGAAAAATACACAGAATCCAGATCATAGGCATATGAGATAAACTGTTATTGTCAGAGGATAGAGGACAGCAGGATCTACAGTAATAAAAGGATCTTTTATATCCATAAGGTCAATTAACTAGTAAAAATGCAACAATGCAAAAATAACCAGGCATCTCCAAGTAGACCCTGTATATTACTGATCTGCAGCTGGAAAAAGAAATGGAATACTATTAAGCAATCAAAAAATTTCATGCTATTTGCAGCAACACGAATGGAGCTTGAAGGGATAATGCTAAATATAATAAGTCAAAAGGACAAAGGTAAATATCATGGTTTTACTTGTATGTTGGATATTGAGAAGCCCAAAGAAAAGATCAAAGACAAACCTTGAAAACTGACCATGGAGTTAGGATATCATAGACGAACGGGAAGAGAGAGTGGGAAAGGTGGAAGGGAAAAAGCACAGAAGACTATGATAATGGACTATGGGTGTTTCAGTGATGGGATAATTGTGAGTCCAGAATTAGTAATGACATAGGGAAAAGAAATGCCAGAAATGACACACTTCAATATTAGCACAACAGAATTTATTTCCCTCTCTTTGAGGGGTAAACTACAAGAGAGCATCTCATTTCATAATCTAAGTCAATATAAGACTGACTCTGTTAGTAATTGAAAGAGTTAAATCTTTTTAAAAAAGAAGTATTCCAAATAAGGCAATATCGTCTCATTGTGTTGCAGGGTGTGTTGTAAACTATTGCATGAATTGACATTTTCATATTTCACTTAACTGATGAACTGAAGTCTGGTTTGAAGCAAGTCTGGGATATGATGTAAAATCAGTGGAGTCAAAGTCATTCTGTAACAGACTCATGTGCATACTTGAAGACTTTATGAATGCTTCAGAATAAGAATTACATTTGTCAAATTCTCTTACATAAAATATATCCAATCCTATTGGAGTAAAACTGTTTTATAAAGAAAAAATACAAGCAGTTAAAATGCCGAACTATTACTTTGTTTTTTATTCAAGGAGTATAATTACAGTAAAGCCATTCTTTATGGTAGTTCTATATGTAGCTCATATTTCTATATCCAGCAACAAAACCTAGAATGTTAAGATAAACACATGACTGAATTACTCTTAGACACCTGTTTACATATTTGATTCTCATCTCCAGCTTTGATTTTCTCGAAAGCCTCTAAATGTCTTCAAAGACTATGGGTTACATGGTTTAGTTCTTAAGCCTCTAACATAGAGAAGTGGATACCATGTTAGACATCACTTTCCTGTAAGGTTAGCTTGGTAAAAACTGTCCCAGCCATCTTACAGAGTATAGCCTCTGAGATGGTGTTTGAAAAGCCAGCGCTTCTAAAAATCCCAACTATTCAACTGTCATCAAAATTGAGCTTTTTAAAAAAAGGTAACTTTGGACCTCTCCAGTCATTTGAGAGGTACCTCCCTCTAGAGGAAAGAAAAACCCCCAGGGAAAATACTTCTCTTTTTTATTGGCCATAACAGTATGCCAGGATGATCAGAAAAATAAGAGTTAAAACACTAATTTGCCACTCTGGCAAGGATGCACGTAGCCCTACAGGCCAGAAGCCAAAAATGACCTACCCATATCAGCCATGAATACACTGCATGATTTAACATCTGCGGCTTTGTCTTCAGATTCACTAAAGAGTAGAGAACTAGAAGCAGAAAGACAGTGATAAGGAACATAACATAAGCAAGCAGTGCCATGAAGTAACTTAACAATGTCCCTTAAGATTTTCTCCCCAAAATATAGTCAAATAAAGAACCTATTTTCTTCCCAATTATTTAGCAGCAAAATAAATCTTGGCTTTTGTAGATAGAACAAGATAGGGATTTAGTAATCTAAAGAGCTACCAAGTTCTTTAGAGACTGTGCTGTCACCATAACATGGGTAAGTTGATATAAATCATGTTTGAAACATGTCTGAAATTCTTAGAAGGATGAAACTGATTTTTAAACAAATATACAAAATATTCTAATTGGTTAAAAATACTATTAATCCAGAAGTATGCAGATGTCAATATGAGAATTTAGTACAAATGTTTATACATTTGCAGTATGAGGCAGAGGAGTAAACACTGCCATTATCTTCATGCCCTATTTTCTTGTATCAGGGTTTAAGATCATTAGGTCCACTGATCAACTTAAACTTTTCAGTGTTTATTCACCTCAAAGTTTTACTAATCTGATTAAAGTTTGAATTTTAGGTAATTCAAGTTCAATTGTTTCATGAAATATTCCCAGTGTTATCAAGCATGACTGTTTACTTTAATCTGCATTTAACTACAGTACTTTTTATCTAAATTCAGATGCATGTCACATATCATAATGCATAGGAGTTCAATCTAAACTCTCAGAGGATTATCATTTGTTAGCATATTTGTGATTAAAGAAATATTTAATACTAAAACTTGAGCACATTATAAAGGAAAAAACTTGCATGTCATTTGAGCTTATATAGCACATAGTATGATTATGAGCAGCACATCTTTTTCACAATAAACTTTAGAGTTAGTTAGGAGAAGTTGTTATGTGGCTAGCATCCTATAATATGCAGGATTCCTATTTAGAGAGGGATTTTTTAAAGGGGTCACAAAAAAAGTTTACTTTTCCCTGTGCCTGTATTGTGAGAATATCAATTGAACTCCAATGCTTATGAACCATTTATTCTAAAACTAGAATTTATTATGATGTAGGATGCAAATGGAAAATAAGTATACCCATATGGATCAATCTTATGAGGAACTTAAAGCAATTCAATTTCTGTGGATTGAAAAGAATTATGTGTGTGGAAATTTGGGAGAGAACAAAATAAAAATGTGGTTTTGGTTTTATACATTCCACAAGAATATGGAAAGAAGTATGTAGTTAGAAAGAAGAGATTCTTTCAAGGAATATTAGAGAAAGAGAGATATGGTTAATCAGACTTAAATGATGAAGGAAGATTCTGGCTGGCAGAGATTAAAAGGTATGGTCACCATTGGATGTAGATTCAGGGGCAAAAAGTGAAGCAGGAATAGGGATAGCATGCACTGAGAACAATAAAAACATGCCAACTCATTTGAGGGTGACGGCCTCTTCTGTCAAGTGTGAGAGACTGTTTAGGAGTCCAGATGTAATCAGATAAAATGGAATCCCAAATTGAGGCCTGAAAAGGTTAAAGGACTTCCCTAGGCACATTCCTAAAATCTACAGACATGAAACTCAACTTTAAATGCTGTCCTCAATAGTATACTGCTGTCTTTTTCTAGGTTTAACAGCATGTCATTTGTCTGAGTTGTACTTGGTAGCAGTAAAATGATGTTCATCCTGGACTCAGTACTATCCTGCCTGTGATGTATGGTTGACTTTCACGGGAATAATATAATTATTATTCACTAATAACTATATGAAATGGCCTATTCATCCTAGTCGGCTGCCTAGTAACTTAACAATTTGTGTTTTTACATCGACACAAATTGACTTGATTTTAACAAGTGGATTGCCATTCCTAAGGTGTGTTTAGTTTTCTAATATACAAAACAATATATAAACAGGACATATGGATAGTAAGGTTTAGTTTGTTATGTAGCACACATAATCCCATAGAAATACAAAACTGACCTGCAACCTGTACTTCCCAATAGCTACTAATTTAAGGACAAATTTAATTGCACCATTATCACATTCTATGCTGGCACTAGTGTTGTTTCAGTGTTGACACTGTAGCCCCATCTGTGATGACAGTGACACTCACAACAGTTACTTACCTAGCATTTATTTTGTTTCTAGGCTCTTCAATGGCCAACAAGGAATTATTATTCAGAATTTTAGCACAAGATCAATCCTCACTGTTACTAATGTGACACAGGAGCACTTCGGCAACTATACTTGTGTGGCTGCCAACAAGCTAGGCACAACGAATGCGAGTCTGCCTCTCAACCGTAAGTAACAGCATTGCCAAAATGCTTCCAGGGGCCTCTTGGCTCCTGTCTGTGACTAGCGCTAAACCCTAAGAATGTTGTAATCATTTTATAACACAACCTGATGCGACATACCCCATCCACAGGAAACACAGTTCCCAAATCAAATAGATCTTGAGAATCCCTATAGAAGTCTACACATATCTGAAACATAACTTAGAGCTGAGAAAATTTAAAATCTATATATATATAAATTTTATCAATTAAAATTCCTTCTAACTGAAGGTGATTTGTTTCCTTTTTTGTTTTGTTTCCTTTTAAAATTGTGTTCTGTTACCTTGAAGTACAAATTAGTTTGGGTTGGTTTCTTCTAGCTGAATTTCTTCAGCCCTTCAGCTTGTAGTAGCAAGAATTCGATTTGCCTAAGGTAAAATGAATCATTAAATAAATTATTATAGACAAAATATTTATTCATAAAGAAAATATTTTTATCTTCAAAACTGTGTTTTGAAATACAACTTTTGGTTTGTTTAAATGAACATTATATGTTTAATGTATTATTGTATCCACAAACTAGAATTGAATAAAGAATTGCAACACAGGATTAGTTGAAGGGAGATACATCTATGCTCCTACAAATAGTTTTTGTGCTTTTTATAATCTGAGTAATCAAAACATTGTTTCAACCACAAAATATTTCCGAAACTGAAGTGACTTTTCAAAAAATGTTCAAAAAATGTTCATAAAACTATATGAATCATAGTTAATGTCTTTATAGTAATATTTTACAATAACATGATCACATCCAGTTTGCAGAAATGAGGCTGGGATATGTAATAGTCCCACTACTTAAATAAGATGTAATATGAATGTTCATCGCTTGTAAGCTCTGGGTTATGATTGAAGAACTTTTGATTTCAAATAACAGATCAGTTTATTATAGAATAATAATCATTTAAAATGATTTGTTCTATATTTACCTTTAAAGCATCATCTCATTTATTATCTCAGCTTACTGAGTATATGTCAGTATCCTCACTTTGAAATTAAAATTTTGCCATCAGTAACCATCATAGAATATACTTGCTTGAGTTTCTTCCAGGAGGATGATTTATTTATTAGTAATATGTCACTGAAAATATTGTAGAGCAGTATGAATTTCAATTTAGTATAAATACTGGTATTTCTTTGGTAATTTATTGTCATTCCAAATAGCTAAGTATTCACGAACATGAAGGAAGTCATGAATTATAAAGTAGAGACAAATGTAAAGCTTTGTAGTATATTAATTTTTTGCTATTTAAACATAAGTTACATCTTGATTTTCAAAACTGAAGCACTAATTTGTACAACAAATAAGGAACAAATGTCACTTATTTAAGTGTTTGCTTTACTCTGATGACCTTAATGTGATCATATAGAAATAATCACTACTGAACAGGCTTCCAAATGTGGTATCTTCAGAACATACTCTGATGAGCACTCTTTCCACTGGCTTTATATATGTTGAGGTGTCATAAAATCCTCATGCATTTAGTTAATTTGTTCATAAAGACATAATGTACAAAAAATACCTGTAATTAATTATAAGAAATGTCTGTATATTCAAACTCTTGATAGACCACATCTGAAGCTCTTATTGCACTATCATTTCTATTTTTCCCAGCTAACTGTTTTCATAAATTTTTCTTTTCATCAAACTTTTCTGGTTGAGAAGACAGGGTCAATATTGGATTATTTTATCTCCCCTATTTCTAAGCACAATATCTGCTAGTTAATGAAAACTATCAGAAAATCTTTAATGATGATTAAATGCTGCATAAGTGATCAAATGAATCATAAGTAAGTGAATGAAAGAACTGGGTTTCACTATAGAATTTGCATTTGTAATATTTAGATTTACACAATTTAATAGTGGTACAATAATACAAACATTAGCTTACTTTGCACTAGATTCCCCTTATAATCTTTTAATATGAATTTGTTCACTTAATTCTCTGACAATCCCCAAAAGTAAATGTTAGACTTTCTCTCACACAAATGAAGATACTAAGGTGGAGATTTCAAATTTGGCTTCAGTCAAGTTGGAAATAAGTGATAAAGCAAAAACTAGAATCTCAACAGTTTGGCTTCAGAGTCCAGGCTTTACTATATTTCATTGTCTCGCACTAGAAAATGAAACCATCAATAGTGTAAGTGAGGATTATATCAGTTGCAATAAGCTCTTCCAAAGATAAATCTCTACATGTAACATACTGCCCTTTTGGTGCTTTTTATCAACTTTTCTTTGATAATTTAGTGTTATTCTTCAATATATATACTCATTTTTAATAAATATTTAAATATAAAACAGATATCAAATTTAGATATGTAAAGATGCCTGGGGCCCAAGCTTAACCAAAAATGTTAAAAAATGAGACCCAGGAACATTTAAAAACACATTTTGGTGGAACTGCAATTCTCCATACAGGATAGGCAGTATGAATCTGCAAGCTATTTATGGGGTAAAGCTGCCTACTTAAAGTTTTTAAGTAGGGGTCCCTTACTAAGAACTTCTGTTACATCTTTTCAAGATCGATAAATGAAAGGGCTTTCAATCTTAAAACTGAAAGCCATTCTTAGTCTAATGGAATAATGGCCTGTGACTGGCTCGAGAATTTTAAAAAATCTGTTACTTAAGATCAGCCATCCCTATAGTTAGGAGTTGTGTAAAGCTAACTGACCCATCTTCTCATCCCAGAGATAGATTCTGAAGTCTGCCATCTCTGTACATGATATTTGTAATATGCAATGAGTAAGAACATGTTTATTTCTTTGTGATTTGTATCCCTGAATAACACAAAGGGTGATCAGAAATGTGAATTACCTAGCATATGTTTATTTATCACAAACATTCAAACCTGATGGTAATACTTTTTCAAAAGAGTTTTAAGTCACATAGAATCAGCTTCCCATCCATACCTAGTTAATATAAATGCCAGCATAATTGCAATCTACACCATGTTTATAATAACCGGTATATCTCAGATCATCAAGACTAAAAGCTTAGAGACTTTATAATAAATAAGACCATCTAAAAGGAATGCATCATTTTTTTCTGTATTAATGTGTATATGTTTAACGTAAATGGAGCCCAGAAGACTTTGGTCTCAATCCCAGTTTTACCACATATCATAAGTGTGGCTTTTAGTAAGTTACTTAAGTGCTAAAGACTCAGTTAATTTATAAAATAAGGGCAATAGTAACTCCTATATACTGTATAAATACTAAATGGGACGATGAATGTGAACCACTCATCATAGCCTGGATCAAAGTAAACATTCAGTGAATGTTAACCATTGTTATTATCTCATATCCCCACAAACACTCAGTTCATTTCAAAAAACTATACAAACAATAGCTTGTTAATAACTGACTGCCCAGTATATTATTGGAAAACTGTCCTTAGCAAACCTGTGAGAAGGCATACACATTTAAAATAATGTCTCGATTTAGCTCATAACTTGACCTCATCTGTTACTCTGTGCATGAACTAGACTGTGTGGCACTAATTCCAGATTAAAAGTGATGTTTGCAGCACAGGCATTCAGACATCTGGAAATTGTAATGAATAAAATGTAAGTTGCTCTATTTTGAGACACAGATAACTCATTCAATAAGCAACATTCATGTCTGTATTGTATATTGTTTACAATGTACAAAGCATTATGCTAGATGTTGGAGAAAAAAAAGAATAATAGAACCTCAGCCTAAAGAATTATCAAACAAGTGAGAGGGACAAGAAACATGGAACAATAGTGCAGTGCAGTCAGTGGAACCATACACTGGAGCAGGGAAGAAGCTCATAATCCAGTCTGAAGGGTCAAGAAAGGACAGTCATCAAGGCAGTAGAGTAGGTAATAGCACTACATAAATTATAACTAAGACACGACTCATAATTCTATTTTAGTCATCATTGTCTCATTTTCAGAGGCATAATTTTGCAGATTTTATTCAACAGTTATGAACACAGCATAGAGTGACATAAATGAGAGCATGATCAACTCACTCAGTTGACTCAGTACAAACTCTTGAGAAGATGACCCTTGAACTAAAGATTTGATTGAGTATGGAAATGGTGGTGAACATGATGAGGAGGAGGAGGCAAGAAGGGAGAAATGAGAAGGCAAGAGGGGAGAAATGAGATATTCTGATATGGAACAGCTCATCTAAAGACAACAGTATGAAACGATCTGATGTATTTGCAGACATAATAGTAATTTACTCCGTGGGTTGAAGGAAAAAAGAGTATTGAGAAATGTGGTTGAACAAGTTGGTAAAATCAGAAAAGGCTGTAGGTATTAGACTTATACTAATAAAAACAAAAGAAGATAATTAAAATATATAAAAATAGTGTATGAGAAAGTTGAGAATTGCAGTTAATTATGATTTAGGGAATTGGAGGAATCTAAATAACTCCTGATGTTGAGTTTGGGTGAAATTACCAAAACATTACATAAAAGAAGTATTAGGACATTAAGATATGGGTAGAAAGATTTAAAGAAGAATTTAATTGTAGACACTTATCCGTTGAAGGCAGTTTCCAGTAGATAGCTGGTTATAAAATCCAGAATGGAATATGATTTAGAAATAATCAGAATGGAGGTAGTAGTTTTAGCAAGAGAGTAAATAAGGCTTTTTATAAGGCCATGTAGAATGAAAAGATAAGCAAGGATTGAAGCCCAAGTAAAATTAGAATCAGTCAGTTAAGGCAGAGAAGCATTCTATAAAAGCATGCAGATTCAGTGTCTATAGAAATGACAGCAGAAGATTAATCACTGCTGTAGGAGCCACAAGAGGAGACCAGTGTCCAACAGGATCCAGTGCTGCATCAGGACAAACAAATCTAAAACTCGACCACTGTCTCTGACAATAATTTATTGTTGATCCTTTGCCAAAGCAGTTTTTGCAGAAAACAGAATGTCAAAACCATGTAGCTGTGTATTGTTTAAATAAGCAATTGAAGAAGTAGAAAACTGGAG